AGAGTTTATATACGCACAAAAAACGAAATAGATTACGTCTGTCGTGTAAACTAATACGATAGTATTTATCAATATATATATATGGTTAATTTGGCAAATTGGAAGCTTGCGATTCATTTCATTATTATCACTACGTAGGGAAAATCTGAAATACACATATATAAACAGTTTCGACGGACGGCAAAATAAATGCCAGCTCGGTGCAAGATCGAAGAAGCCCTAAATTGGATCTTAATATGGTGATGATGATGATACTGAAAACGCCGCCTTTCGCTATCGTCTTCCTTCTCCTTTTCGTCGCCATCTCCTCCGCTTCTTCGTTTGCCCATCATCACATCAACAACTCATCGACCCATTGCCCCCCCATCGGCCGGGAGTCTTCAAGAATCTTCAACAAATACCACATTCAGGCGGCGGCCGCGGTGGCTGTGCGGCGGGAGAGCTGGAGGAAACTGAAGAAGGAGAAAAACTATGCATCACCGCCAACAACGCCGGCGTCCGTGAAGGCGGCGGCTTACTCGGCCATGCTTCCGAAGAATTTTGTGCCGCCGTCTGGGTCGTCGCCGTGCCATAACATGTACCCTAATTCCGTGGCATTCTTCTGCCACCTTTCCGAGACCAGGAGACCCTAGCAGCCGGCCTGCATATACGTACTACGTCCGATAGAATTTTGGTGAATTCAATTCTGAGTTTTTTTTTCATAATCTTTAATTCTCAAGAAGCTAGCTAAGTATATGAAATCTTTAATCTTTACGTCGTGATATTTTGTGTACGTTTAATTTGATGAAAAACTGAAAGGCCGCCGCCGGCCGATCCATCGTAGTCTAGATATTCTTTTATTTCTATGGCTTCCGATCCGTCATCTGTTTCGAAATGCCGCATGCATGTATGTCTTCATTTTTCACGTTCACCACTTTCAATCGGAACAAAAGTCAATAACGGGAGAGCTGCACTTGTCGAAAATCAGATTCCACACTTATATAGATATATTGTATGTTGGGATCGCAACTTTTCAAAATTGGTAAGTTGATAATAATTAAATTAATTAATACAAAATAAATACATAAAATATTCTATAATTGTAAAACTTACATGCATCCAAACACCAAACTCACTAGTATATATGTAGGAAATTTAAATGGATCGGAGATCGATAGTTGTCACGTGGATTTTGCGACGTTCTAAAATTGTTTTTTTTCAATGATTTGAAATTACTCCTTCTATGAAGCTACTATTCAACAATGGGTATATATTATTGTGGATTTGCGGGGTTGAAATTTCGTGTGCCCAGTAGTACTCCCTTGACCAGGAATGATGTAAAGATGGGTAACTTTTGACTAACTTCATGTGCAAATTGTTTGGTGTAATTTATGTTAATTTATGCTTTTGTGTAACTCATGTTACATACATTTTTATGCAAATTACGTTATGATACATGTAAATCTTACTAGTAACCGGTAAGAGATATTAATTCAAATAGTGTATTTTGGTGTAAATGTGATACATTACATATATTGTACAAGTAAATGATATTATGAATACCTAAAAAACATGTTATTAACTTGTAAACTACATGAGTCAAAAAAAAACTTGTAAACTACCTAAGTGTGGTTAAATATGTAAGTCACTTTATATAAAATGTAAACTGTGTGTGTCAAATATGTAGTTATGTACCTTTGGTACATTTTTGTGTAAAAATGTATTCCATCCGTTCCACTATTATTGTCTCAGTTCATATTCACTTGGTACACAAATCACTCTTAATATCTTACTTTATATATCAAATTTTTATCAAATTTGATTCTGGTTTTTGCGATTTTGTAAAGCTTTTAATGTAGTTTCTGAATATGTAATTTTTTTCTAAAAATAATTTAAGTGCGGTCATGGATTTGTTTGCTTTATCGTCGATCAAGCATTGTAAAATTGTTTTGATCGGGTTTTTTATTGGGGTTGTCCAACTATGGAGGAATTACTTGAGGCTTTTGCAAAAGATTGGTTTTAAAGGAGGTTTTCAACTAGGTTTATTGGAGAAGAAACGCATTTTGATCTGATTTGACCTAGAGGAAACTATATATATACGATGTTGGAATCCTCAGGTTTGGATGATCCTTGGTCATACTATGCGCGTTACTAAGTGGACACCGGATTTCAAACCTGATGTTGAATCACTAGTTGTGTTCTTATCTGGGTATCTCTAGATGGATTATATATTCATTTATAGGATAAACTTGTACTATTTCAGATTGCAAATTTGATAGGAAGACCACTAAAACTGGTCGATGCTACTTATTCAGATCACTTGCACCGTCTACGGCAAGATTATGTGTTGAATTCACAGGTTGTTTACACCTGAATATTGTCTTCACTGTTTACACTTGAATTGATACATTTGGCAAATAAGTGTCATTAGAAATTAAAGAGAACTCAGCTAACTCGGACATTATTGCTTCGGAGAATACTGCTAAGGAGAAAATCAGCAAAGACATATGGGTGGAAAAGAAAAAAGTCGCCTTAACTCTAGCTATTACTCTGTATAATATATGAGAAAGGTCATATTATTATAGATCCTTCATCTTCTAAACAATTGCACGATTTTGTGATGATTCAAACTTTGTTACTTTCCATTTTAATCAGGGTTGCAGTTAGCTTGTGTGGTGAGTTTAGCCCAGTACATTCCGGGTATAATAAGCAGAATTTGATGCCCTAGGCAAAATAGCACAACAAAAGTTATAAAGACAAAAGTAATACGTAGTAAACAAAATGATAGTACTATTTGGCGTATGGTTGTAAATGTTTCAATGTTATTATATGCTCTATCAATCCGAACAAATTTTACTTTCAAAACAAATGTTTTAATGTTAAAATTGCTTTCATAAAGTATAAAATGTATGAATTTCACATAACTATAATAACTAGAATCATTAAAATTGTCCAAGTTTACTATCATTGACCAAACAAAGTCAATTTGACCAAATTTTGTGGGATGGGGATAATAGTTTTATACTCCCTCGATTCGTCGTCCCTTATAACTTTGTCATCTTTCCTTTTTTGGTTTTCCACTAAAACTTTGTCACTTTCCATTTTAATCAATTCTTTTGTGGTTCTAGTTATTTCTCTCTCCTCTGCACAAACTTCAATTACACAGTTTATTATTATGGGGGTGTTTGGAACTGATTCTGCTTCTGCTTCTTTTTTAAAAGCAGAATCAGAATCACAATCAGTTTTCAGAAGCCGGTACCTCCCCGCTTCTAAAAAAACTGATTCTGAGAGTAAATTAGAGTTCCAGAAGTGCTTCTGGATTTTCACCCAAACACTTCAACTTCTGCTTCTGCTCCCTGAAGGAGCAGAATCAGTTTTGAGAATCAGATCCAAACACCCCCTATATGTGTCAGCCAAACTTGGAAAACTTTTAAGGGACAGAGAGAGTATGTACTTAAAATTTTCCTTTTTTTTCACTGGAAAATATTATCAATTTGTTTGTACTATAAATAAAATTGCACTTTTAAACAATCACACATCGATAAGAATAAATAATACCACTACTACAATATTCTCTCATTTGATGTTTCAATAAGAAAAAAATATGATTTTTACAAATGAAGATTTTTTTATAATCAATTATAAATGCTTTAGTACATTACGATTACTTTCTTACGGAGTATGGAGTATTATTTAAGAAAAACATAAAAACAATCTCTCTAAAAAATCTAGCATAACTTAGGAATAGATTTAATAACGTAAGAACATAAATTAATAAGTAGAACTTTTTCATGTGTCTATACAAAATTTAACATTATAAATCACTTACTTTTAATAGAATATTCAATTTATTTTGAACTACTAAATAAAAAAGTTAACAAACTTGAATGATTCAAATGTTAGAGGGAGTACATATTAGTATTCATTATTTATGTCCTTACTATCCATCCATCCATCCATCCATTTATTTCTACAAAAAGATTACAAAAAATGGGGCCCCTTTAGAGGTGGAGGCCCTCGACACCTTGCCTAGGGTAACTTCCCCATAGCCGCCTTTGGGTATATAGGGCACCCGATCGGGTATCCCAGGGAGTAGCCCGGAAGGTCACATTTCGCATCATACCCGATCGGGTATGTCGGTTCATCCAATCGGGTATAAGACAAATCTTGATAAATATCCCTACATGCATGTTACTTTGTTCTCCAAATTTATTTTGACATCTGAATCCGGTCGATACCCGATCGGGTGTAGCATATCCCGACCGGGTGTATGAACAGTTTTCCAAATCTTCTTTTTGTCTTGTCCATTTGCACTTTCCTTTAGGGTTCATTCTAAATCCTTTAGATGACTTGATCTATTTTAAGCTCTGAATACTCTTAATCTAAACAAATTACAACTATCTAGGAAAATAAAGTATTACACCAAAAGTGTGCAATTTCCACAACAAACAATAAAACTAACTAAAAGTGAAACAAAACTTACTGAAAATACATTAATATCAGGAGGCATGAGAGAAAAAGATCTGAAAGAATGAAATTTATAAATTTTTGGCATAATTTTTTATAATGTTAAGAAGTGTGAATTTGCCGTTTGTGAGGCTGAGAGGGCCTTTGAGGTTAATCCCAATGATCACACTAGACACTCTGGTCTAACACACACACTGAGCTACTTCTAAAATTCAAGCAGGAAAGAACTTTTTGGAAAAGGCTCCGGTTAAGTGGCTCCAGGAGGGATACAGTAACAAGAAAACTTTTCATTCCTTTGTAAAAGGGAATGACAGAAGCCAATATATTCAACTATTCAAAAGGAGGATGGTTCCTGGATTAGGAAGAAAAATGTAATTGGTCAGGCTGCTATTCAATATTATCAACATCTCTCTACTGAGGAAGCCACTGTGAAGTCTAATACGAGTATGAATTATATGCTTAGCTACATTCCTCATCTCCTTCAAGAGGAAGACAATGATCTTCTCATTAGATTACGTAATGAAACTGAGGTTAAATGACTATGTCTGCAGTTTGGAAGCTGAAAAGATAGTGCCCTCCAACAGGGACAGATGGTTTGAACAGAATTTTGTTTCGCAGTTGCTGGGATATTGTGAGAAAAGATGTCACTTACGCTGTACAAGATTTTTTAGGCAATCCAATGCCTCATTCTATAGGAAGCACTCTTATTGTTTTGATGCCCAAAAATGTGAGACCTAAAGATTTTTGAATTTTTCTGTGTTCCGACCTATTTGCCTTTAAAGATTTATCAGCACGGTCGGTACCAGAGTGCTGGCCAATAGACTTGTTTTAATCTTGCCTAAGCTAATTTCTAAGGAGCAGGTTGGGTTTATGGAATCTAGCGATATCTGTGGTCACATTTTGATGGCACGGGAAATGATGCATGCGTTAGATAAAAAGGTAAGGGGCAGCAATGTAGCTAAATTTTCCATCAAACTTCTATTTTTGCTTTTAGATATTAAGAGATGGTGGCTCCTCCATGTCAACAAGGTAAGCTATGGTCGGAAACTTTTATGGTGACACTAAGGAGTAATATTTGGCAATGAATTACTATGTAATAAGTTAGTTCTTCACTAACGAAGGTAATGTTGCAGACAACACTAAAATAATGCGTAGTACTTCTGTAGCAGTTTATACATTGAGATTTGAAATGGCTAAAATAGGAAGACAGATGATATGACTTAGTAGGTAGTGGTAGGTGAGGGCAGGAAATCTCATATCACCTAGCTCAAGGGTTCATCATATCATGGGCTTCAGAGCAGTGCGTGCGATTAACTCTCTTTAAACACTACTAGTTTAAGAAAGAGAGCGTGTGAACAGAGACACTTCTCAAGGGCAGGAGCTGTTTGGAAAAGATCACCACTTCTATTATCTATACATAGAAACTATCCATGGCATTTGAGTAAACCAAAAGTGATCTTCAAGAATGAAGAGCAGTTGTCTTGGGAAAAAAGTGTTGTGGCACAAACTTGAGACTACTGCTAGTCGGATTGCCTTAGTTGAACTATGCCCCTTCTCTCATTATCCCAAAAATCATGAGTCCCATATAATTTTGCTCTTCTTAATCACCACTGAATCGCTTGCTTTGCACGCCGAGTGTCTTGTAGTCCCAAACAATTTCAGACACCTCATCTTGCGGTAAAGACAAAGACTTCCTTTTCACAGACTTGAGCAGTTCGCAAAAAAATTTAGGATCTTGTAATTTGGCATACTCATGCAACATCCTCTCATGATCTGGGACCCAGCTCCTAGGGAAAGGGGTGTAATCACATGACGGGATGAAGGACATGCGAGAGAACTGAACACCTTCAATAGCATCAACAAGTCCCATCCTCAGAAGATCAGAGTACTCAGGTGCGGCGTTGTTACTGTGTTCCCTCAAGGAACGGCTCAGATCGCGTGATGCAATCTTATACACCTTAGCACGAGATTTTAGTCTATATCTGGCCGCATACAGCTTAGCCAGAGAGCTACGGATCACGTAAGCACAAAAGCCGATAACTTTCCGTCTGTTATCTGCAAACCTGTACCAATCCGCTAAGGTCTCAAGCAACTTATTCATTTGAGCATTAGTATGAGCTTGACCGGAATAAAGCATTGGGGTGCAAGGAAGTGGCTCTGGATCACTGTCGCCCTTCACAAGCTTGAGCTGCCGGAACAGGCGAATACATCGTTGCAGGCTGGCAGTGACGGAGAGAAGTGTCCCTACGCCTTTCTGGCTCACAACAGTCCCTCCTGAAGCTGTGTAGTGGAGTGTGGGGTATATTACCCTGCGACAAATCATATGATCCAAGAATTGAACCCCCCTACTAATGTGCTCTATTTCAATTTTTGAGTTATCCAATCTTATGCCATACTCTCTCTCACAAAACTCGATTATTTCCTTCCTAACATCCACGGCGTCTTGCCTAGGACCTCTTATGCCAATCAAGAAATGTCCCCCGAACCGAATGTAGTCCATCTTTCTCGTTTTCCCTTTCCCGCTCGACGGAACAAACTCGGGCCAAGACGGATTATGACAACCATCATCAATAGAGTGTTTCCAAATAGCGTCAAGCTCGCAGGGCCTGAAGAACTCAACTATCTTCTCTTCCATCATATGATCCAGCTCATTTAGACAGGCGTTTGCTAGCAATGGACTGAGAATCCCACAGTACCCATACTTTGGTATCTTTGCAGCCTCTTCTGGTGAAAAATCATAGAACGCCCTGAGCCAATATGGGTCTGGCTTCGGCTCATTTGCTTTCAGAATTCTTTTCTTTGTCTGGGTTTTTTTCGATTTCTTTTTATCCAACTTCTTCTCTTTGCCTTCATCACTGCTTCCTGCTCTCAAACCTGATCTGATCAAGCTTAATACCTTCTTATCCTTCAAGACTTTTCCAATGCAATCCATGGCTGTGTTCATATCAACATTATCGAAAATGTCACTTACATCACCTCTCAAATACCATAAATACCCAGCAAAGTTACTCCTGATGGTCCGGATGACAGTGTGGGGGTTCCTGCCAGGACGAAAAGCATGCGACTTAGCAGAAAAGCGGGGCTCGAAAATCGGCTCGAGAATCATCAGAAGAGTTTCTTGAACTACCTGGTCCTGAAACGGCGGGGCTTTGGAGGTGAGAACAGTATCGAGCTGGCGGCGGGAGAGGTTCGCAATGGGTCTTTCGTTGGGTCCACAAATTACTGGATGCGCCTTGTCGTTCCAGATGAATTTTCCGGAAACAACCGTGTTTCGTAGGGACACAAGATCTGAGAGGATGTGACTGTGGATTGCATTGCGGGGAGGAAAGGAGCCAGTGACGTGGGCGCAGGTACGCTGGTAGGCAAGGACCCAGAGGTCTAGCTTCGAGAGGAATCCGGTAAGGTTAGAGAAGGGCTTTCCCGGTTGTGAGAAGGTCTTGACCCAGAGGTTGGATAGAACTTCAATAGGGTCTTCTTTGAGAAGATGGTATGGACCTTGTTGCAGAGGTGGACCAGCTAGCTCCGGCGGAAAGGAATGCCGACCACTGTGATGGAAGTTGCGTGAAAATGAGCGAACTGAAGTAGCGTTTATAAAGTGTTTGATGTTTGACCTCAAAGACATTTTTGTAGTCACCAAGGACTCGAATGGCTCGGTTATAAATATATGGAGTACTTTTTTGTGACAGAATTCAAAAATGTTAGGTTACACTCGAATATTTATAAATAGGGAGATTTCAACAAGTAGGAGCAAAACGTACGGATTTTCCAAAACTAAGACCGAAGATTAGCGTAAGACTTAACCAGACCTGCATTGGCCATAATACCCTTACTTTTAGAAAATAACATACATTAAATAGACATTAAATAGACAATAAGTAGACAATAAACAAACAATGAAGAAAATTGCTCTCCATAGTATCCTAACCGAACCCATCTTCTCCCGACTCTCTCCCATTTGTCCTTCGCAAATCCAGATCCACGCAGCTCCGTCTTCAGGTCTCCGCCTTCGAAGCTAGGTCGCCGGCTCTCCTCCATCTTCCGGTCACCGCCTCTGAGTCGCCGCCTCCACCTCCAGGTCATCGTCCGCTCCACGTCTTCTTCTTCTCAATTTCTTTCCGGCATGTTGCGTTGGAGACAAAGAGTCATGGGTTAAAAGAAGTCTACGACTTCAGATCGGCGTTGAGGCTAGTTTTTTGGAGAAGGCGGTGGTCTGATGGGACTGGGGAAAGGATGTAGCGGTGATGTGCGGCGATTGCAGGGTGATAAAGTGCCGGTGTGGGGGGCTATGGCTGTTCAAGGGCTGGGGTTGGGAATGGGGCTGCCGAGGCGGCGGCGCTCATCGCCAGGGAAGGGCAATGGTGTGCAATGGTTGGGGGCTGAATATGGTGGTGGGATGTGAGGTTGGGAGAGATAGGTTGTGGCAGAGGAGAATTGCAGAGGGCGAGTGCAGGGGGATAACGGGAAGGGTAAAAATGGAAGACAAGAATAAAGTTTTCGAAAATGGTGCTAAATAGATCCTACGCATGGGGAAAACACAGCTTAATCCTACTTTTGTAAAGTTTCTTTGATATGATCCTATGGAGAGCAATTTTCTCTTATAAATAGGACAAGGCTCAAAAATGACAATTATTTACGAATCTGGAACCAAATTAACACATAATTCACTTATTTAGATAACATTTAACCACTCACTCATATTTCATTTTAACGGTGTCGGTTCATGTCTCCCCTTTTCTCTTCATGTATGTATCATCTTCCACTTCTGCTAGTTTTTATTATTCTATGCAAATGTGTTGAAACATTTGTGTCACACCGGAAAGCTATAAAATAATTAAACACCATATAAGGCTTTGAGCTACTCCTCCTATCAGAATGTAACCCCGGGTTTTAACAAAATGTGATTTTAAAATGTGATTAAACCGGGCTACTCCTTACCTATATAAGGAGTTTGGGCTACTCCTCTTATCAACACTTAAACCGGGCTACTCCTTACCTATATAAGAAATGTTATTGGGTAGCCAAATGTAGCTCCAATAAGGGATTTATGTGCTAGTTTGGTCCACTTGAGAGTTTAATGTCCATTCTGAGCTTCACAAATAAACTTAATGTCCTATTTAAGCCTTCTCCCTAAATACACAGGCATTTAGGTTACACTCGGTTATAATGGCTCGGTTCTGGCATCACACGTTTACCATAACGTATCAGATCAGATCAGACCAGAAAATTTCAGTCCAAGAAAAAACATCCTAAATAAACGCACACACATACGAGCTTCGGTCTTTCTCTCGCTTGTCGAAAGCTAGGGTTTTTCTCTTGAATTTTGATTTAGCGCAGGTTCAAGAAAGGATAACCATGACTTCTATGGATGATTTAAAGCAGCGTTGTTTCATTCCAACAATTGAGGAGGAGGTCGAAGGGTTGGTTTTTGGCGGATCAACATGGGTGAAGGGCGGTAGCGATAGTGGAGGTAGCACATGTGACGAACTGATAGAAAGCGGGGAAGGGATGAGTAAAGGAGAGAACAGATCGGCAGTCCGCCCCCCTCCTGAACCGCCGTCTTGGAGTGATCAAGTAAATTAGTAGGAAAGAGTTTGGGGTATTTATTAGTTATTATATTTTACTAAATATTGTTAAAAAAATATTTATTTAAATGATGATTTTGAAATAAACTTTGTCAAGTTGATGTTGAGTGGTATATTGGAATAGTAAAAACTATATGATTAAGGTTTGTGTAGAGGAGAGAAAAATAAAGAACCGCAAATTCATTGCTTTAAAAGGAAAGTGACAAAGTTTTTTAGAACAAACACAAAAGAAAAGTTGGCAAAGTCCAGTGAGGCGGAGGGAGTATATAATAAATAAAGTGTCTAAATACATGATAGTTTCTACTAAATATAGAAAACCTGTATTATAAGGTATAAAACCCATTATTACACCCCCTCAATGCCGCAGATTGTCATGAAGAAAAATAAATCGTTGTGGAGACAAATTCTTGATGAAAATATCTACGAGCTGAAGTCGAGTAGGAATATAACGAACAACTATATCACCCCGAGACACCCTCACACACACAAAGTGATGGTCAATGCTGATATGTTTACTGTGTGCATGCTGAATAGGATTTATAAATAAATAAGAAGCAAAACCATTATCACACGTAAGCTGAATAGGTGTTCAGATTGGAATACCCAATTCGAACAGAATGGAGCAAATGTGAAGGGTGTCCTTAACCGTGTAAGAAAAGATTCTATATTCAATTTCAATAGAAGATCTGGAGAAAGTGGACTGCTTCTTGGAATTTCAAGATACCAAATTTGGATCAAGAAAGAAAAACCAGACATAAATATACTGATTTCATGACAACTCGTGACACCAGACTCGGATGTACTTGAAATTCAAATTCAATACGTATTTGAATTTCCTAGTTAATAATTTTTTGTAAAAGAATGATAGATTTAATTAATGAACGATTAATTAAATTATTTATCGAGCCCATAATATTGAGAATGAGCTATCAAACATTTAGTTGGGTTATCATAATAATTATAGAAGCCCAACAAAATGAAAACTAAAGTTAAGGAAAATGATCGGGCAACCTAAGTCTATTTTGACCCAACTTGCTAAAGATAGTAATAATAATTGGGAGGAATATTCTACAAGCCGGTAGACTCCAAATAGTGGAATTTGGATAACTTAAAATGATAGGGTTGACATATGGGTGAGCGGGAAGGTTGGAGGCATGTGCAAGCTTCTCAATGGCCCTACTCTTCCTATTATTGTGACAAGTGGTTGTGAGGAGACTTCCTCTATCATTTTACATCTTACACATGATTTGAGAGAAGAGGAGCTCCAGGAAATAGTCTCACAAAACTCTAGTTAGGAGGAAGCAACAAGATAGCAAACCCAAAGGAAAATTAGTAAGAACACAAGGTAATAATTCAACAAGTATTCTTTAACTAGTATTTTATTCATATTATTTTTAAGAAATCATATGGTGGGTTAAACAAGATGTTCTACACATTTAAAAGTGTAGAATATTGATATAAAGTGATGGTATTTAACTTAGAAGAGTCGTGGAATCGATACAAGTTGAAACCGCAAAAAACCACCATTGAAGGGAACTGTTTTCGTGTTGCAGGGCCCGAAAGCCGTCCAACTTTTGCGAAAGCCGTCTGGATTTTGTCTACTGTCCAGCTTGCTCGTTTTCAATCGGCCTAGAACGAGAATTGACTAAAGGGCTTCGCAAAGGCAGCTAGTTTAGCACACAAGGAAGCTAATTAGTGGGTTGATTTCACAAGATTACCTAAGGTGTTTAGATGTTTTTTATGGATTATTAATGATTAATAATGCTTAAGAATGGGAAGACTATTGTCGATAAAGAAATGGAGCATGATATACCAATTTAGAATAAATTATGTATGATTATGTGTTATGAATATGATGACATGATAGTTGAATTAACTATGAATTCTTATGATAAAATATACTTTTTACTTCATGCGAAGAATACATGAATGAATAAAAGTAATATTTTGGGTATTGAGAATGGATTATATTTTGATTGGAAAATCAGTTTGAATTGGCTATACGCCCATGAATTGAGAACTTGATTATTCTAAGATTAATCTGACTAGTATTAAGATACTAGCAAGGATGTTGATATGAATTATGATAAAATTGATCCTAAGGTTGGATTGTGAGAGGTTGTGCCTTAAGTAGTCCTAAGAGATACTTTAAGGTGAAAATGTATGAACTCTAAGTTATACTAGGGGTAGGCCTAAAAGGCTACTCAAGATAATTTAATTCTAGGCATGGAACTTGCTTAGGGATTGAGTAATGGTGACTAAGAGCGGGGCTCTAACAAGACGTAATGGTGACTAAGAGCGAGACTCTAGCATGTTGTAGTGATGACTAGACCGAGGCTTTAGGATGGTGTGGTAATGTAATAGAGCGGAGCTCTATGATAGTGCAATAATGTGCTAGGGTCCCTATGATGGTGTAGTGACCTACTAGAAGTTTTATGATGATCGTGACTAGTAGTCACGAGAAATAGGGAAGGATGTTTCAAAATGAACATGGGCCCACGGGCCGGCTACTTGACTTTATATAAAGTAAGTATATCTTCAAACGGGGTAACCTAGGATTACGACCTATATTATGATATCACCCTATTTGAGCGTCTTAGAAATTGAAGAATTGATTATATTTAGTGTAGTTGTCATTGTACTTTTCAAATGCTTCAAAGTATTGACCTCCCCTTCACGAGGGAGGCCACCTCATAGTTTCAAGTAGAAATTGAGCTTGCTACTAGTGCTTGTTGCTTCAGGAGGATCTTTGAAGTGAAGATGTGGTTCGTGCTTCCTCCGTTTCTATTTTCAAAAACAATTATAATAATGCTCATGAATAATGTTTTCAGATAAACTATTTCATGGCTTGCATGCCTAAGTTGCCCAATGTGGCTTGAACACTTGTTGTATTAATTATGCTGCTTAAATGAATATTTTACATTATTTTTGTTTATGGATGTACTGTGTGTGAATGATAATGATGACGCCAAACATAGTATGAATATGTTTGACTGTGGTTGACTATTCGTACTGTACGGCGGTTGTTGACGTGTCCGGGTAGGTTTGGGGCGAGACACAACCAGCCTAGTCAGCATCAGAAATATGCTAAAATAGAA